GTTACTTTGGTGGCAGCTTTCCCGTGCCCTCGATCCAATGATTCACTGCCCATTGTGTGCGATTTTATGGCAGAAACTTTTAGCGGACCAGAGACGACTAAAGCGCGAGCAGGAAGAGGCCGACATTGCAGCGCGACGCCACGCGGGCGTCGTCCCGACGCACCATCAGTTTATCACTAATGAGCGCTTTGGGGACCTGCTCAATATAGACGACACCGCAAAAAGGAAATCTGGGTCAGAGGTCTGTTTTGGTCGCCTCGAACTGCTGCTTGACCCAAAGCAATGTCCGCCTCCCTCACGTTGCCGCCCGCCCGTAGGCCTGCGTAGTTCTCCGCGGCGCCTGTCATCCTGGCTTCCCTCAGCGCGCTTTGGCCCCTCTGGCGGGGGGACAGACACGAGCCCGTTGCGCCCTGCGCTCTGTGCGTTCCCGCATGCCTGGCTGTGGGACGGGGCCTGTGGCACCCCCTCATGCATGCTTAGAGCGCATCCGCTGCCTCCGTGAGTCGGCCCCACCCTGCATCTTCCATGACCCTTCTTGCCTGCGCATCTGCTTAGAACCCATGTGCCTCAGGCTGTGTGCATCGATGGCTGCGGCATGTACAATCATGAGACTTATAGAGACGGTTAATGAAACATTATAAACGTTAGCTACTGATACTTTATACCATTTACAAGGGCCTCAACATTTAATGCCTTTGCTATGGAATTATCAGTGAATAGTACTGCTCAGCGTGTGTGGATGGAGTGTGTGAATTACTTACTCGATAGTACCGCAGGAATTTTGAAAACCAAATACTTACCCTGAGGATAAACTCACGGAGAGTAAGCTAGCTCTCTGAGAGACATTTCATTTGTACCTCTAATGTGGGCATTTCTAAGCTTAGTTTACAAAAAGTTAACATCATAAAGGAATTTTTAAAAATCCTGAAGTGATTTTTTACCCAGGTCTTAGCCAACAAGTTGCAATCCTTACACTGTCCAAAGTCTGCCTTTTGGGGCAGAGTTTATGGTTTGCTGAGCAGGCCTTCCGTGGCCTGCCACTCAGGGTCTCTGCTTGGGAAGTGAACGTGTCTGGGACTTAGAGTGTGACACCACGGTGTGTCGTTTACTGCATAATCCTTCAGTGTGGTAGGTTACTATTCCTGTTTCTGTCCTTTGAGTGACAGAAATGACTTTACTTCCTTTAAAAGAAAAAAAAAAAAAAAGGAGGAGGAAACGGGGATAAAGAAAAGAAGCTGAGAAAGGGAGATCCTGAAGTGTGGAGGAAAAAAAAGGTAACAGGAAGGAGCAGAAGTCAGCAAGGGCTGCTCAGCTGCCAGCTCCTCAGCCTTCAGCGTTGCAGCTGCCTCTCAGCACGGCCCTGTCCTGAAGGCTGGGGTGCTGGGTACCCCTCATTTCCTGTCTGTGAGTGAGGAAGGAGATGGCAGGAGGCAGAGGCACCCTAGGGATACGAGTGGATGAAGACATCCCGGATGGGGTAGAGGCAGCCGCTCTCCTTGCAGAGCCTCTCCTAGAGTGGCAGTTCCTTCCTTTGATTGCTCCTGGAAGCTTGTTTAAAAAAAAAAAAAAAAAAAAAAAAATTCCTTGTGCCCTCCCCCGCCATTTGCCAAGCTTCTGATTCTCTGGGGCTAGAATTTGCAGGTTCCTCCTAGGTGATCACAGTAAAGGGACCACGCTTGGAGGATCACTGCCCTAGACACTGACTGGTGGAAAGCAGCGATCAGCGTGCACCGGGTGGGCGGGCCTGTGTGCATGGGCTGCGTGCTTGCTCCTTTGCCCTGGCAAGGCTGCCGATGGTGTGTGAGGCCCCGTGGCAGGCAGAAGCAGGACCCCTAGGCCCCGGAAGACCTGTCAGTGACAGGACCTCCTTTATGTGTAGTTTTTTCTGTCCCGGAGTAAGAATCGCAGTGCTGTGAGAGGCAGAGGCAAAGAAGAATTTGGTCCCAAGAGCTGTAGAAGAAAAGGCGGGAACGGCCCTTCTTTGTGTAGCCATACATGTGTCTGAAGAGGCCAGTGCAGTCAGTTTCCCAGTTTTGAGTAATGTATGCATTCCTTTTATTTATTTATTTTTTTGGTGGAACCGGGGATTGAACTCAGATCCTGGCGTTTGCCAGTCAAGCGCTTGTCCTACTGAGCCATCTCCCCAGCCTATGCATTCCTTTTAATGGAAAAAAATCGCCTCCATTGCTAACTTAAGCCAGTTTATAAATTAGTGTGGCTGATGGGTGACATCGTTTTGGCAGAACTCAGTCACCACCCCACGTTTAGATATATGTGCTGCTTTGGTGTTACTGTCTCAGTGGTCACCCAGCTGTGCAGCGGGATGGCGCAGGGTGAGCTACCAGCCCCGCACTCTCGCCGCACACGCTTTGTTCAGTTAGAATCTGTAGAATTGTTCCTTGCAGTTGTGGTCACGGGGTCCTGTCTTCTGCACTTGCCGTTTATCATTAGTACCACATCTTTTCTCTTCTTGTCTAAGCACAACTGGGTTTTGGCTTCATAGCACTAGAGACTGAGCCCAGGAGCCCAGGCGTGCTGCAAGCTCACCAGTACTGCGCGGCACCGCAGCCCTTTGTTCTTCTTTTCCCTTTATTTTGAGGCTAGGTTTCATTAAGTTGCCCAGCACTGGCCTTCAAACTGTGACCCTCTTACCTCAGCTCTCTGAATAGCTGGTATCGTAGATGTGCGCCAGCACACCTGGCTCCTACGACTGTCCCAATTCCTGGTTACACACAGATGCAAATATTGAAACTGTAGCATTAACTTGAATATAAGATGGTCATTCAGTTGGCCCCCAGTACAGACAGAAACAGCAACAAGAAACTACAAAATTAAACATTTCTGTAGAGGGGCGAGTGAGATAGCTCAGCGTACAGGGACCATGGTTTGGTCCCTGGTACCACATGCCATGCCAGCCCCGCCCCAGGGTGGGCTGAGTCGGCCACCAAAAAAAAAAAAAAAAATTTGTAGCGCATTCATGAGAAGACTGATGTCTGCAGACCCTAGCACGAGGAGCCTGGAAATGCGGTGCTTATTAGGGAAAGGGCTGAACTCTAAGACCACACATGGCGAAGCTTTTAAATACCATTTTTCTCTCAGCCAAAGCGTCCCTTTTTTCTTTCCATTCTGCTCATATCTTCTAATTTGGAAGAGAACATGTGATTTCATTTTCATCACATTGTTTCTCTAATTCCCCCCCCAACCCCCCCCCAACCGGGGATTGAACTCAGGCCCTTGCATTTGCCAGGAAAGTGTTTATTCCACTGAGCCATCTCCCCAGCTCCTGTTTCTCAAGTTTAGAAGGTCATAGAAGTTAAAGAACCTGGAGCTGCTCCTGGCTAGGGGCAGAATAATGCTGATAGCCAAAAAACAGCTTGCTCTTGTACAGGATCTCTAACCCCTATTTCCTTTTAAATATTATTGCTTTTAAAAGGTGAGGAAGAGCACTATGCAAAGAAATAGGATAAACTAAGGTGAGCTTTCTAGAATTGGAGCTGAAGAAAGTGTCAATAGCGAAGGGGTTTTAGCGGAGACGTAGCAAATAGATCCTCCTGACTGCTTTCTCAGAGAGAGAAGGCAGTCAGGTCAGAGTGGGGGGTGACCCAAAGGCCTCACCTGAGCAGGGGTTCTAGCAGCTGGATCTGAAGGACAGTTAAGAGCCTGAGCCAACATGAAAGCAGATGGCAGGCGAGAGACCTCCAGGGATGTTGGGCTTGTAGCGACAGAAGCATAGCGTGACAGGAAGGTGGAGTCAAAGGCAGCTTTGTGCTTGTGGGAACCGGAAGTGGGAGCTGAGCGACGGAGCTGTGGATGGTGGGCCGGCAGGCCTGACTTAGAGGCACCCTTGATGAGAAGGTGGAAATGTGACAGAGGCTGACCTCCAGCTGGGCAGCTGGGAGGACAGGGCTGCCCCGTCAGGAGTGGTGGCTTGACCAGGATGATCTCACAGATCCTAAAAAAATAGCAGAGCGGCATAGGATACTAGAGATATATTAGCTTCATCCTGTAGCTCGTAATTCAAGCCAGACAAGTAACTGCCCCTGAGGAACGAGACAGTAGGTGAGGAGCACCTTCGGCCTCCTGGCTGACTGGTGGTTTTTAATAGCCATGGTCATGTTTTAGGGAATCAGTATTTTTTTAAGCATAAATTCTTGCTCTCTTTTGGTGAATTCTTGTGCATGACTCACTGGCCAAACCTCTGTCTAGTGGTCTGCAGAGATTAGACCCTGGAATTCGTCCCAGATTTCTGTATCAGAATGAACTTGTTAGTGTGAAGGTTTCTACTTTGCTTTTTAGAAACTTGTAAAAATGCATTCCTTTTATTGTTCATAAATCATGATTTTAATTTATTTCTTGTGTTTAGATGAGACCTGCCCGAGCCAAATTTGACTTTAAAGCTCAGACACTAAAGTAAGTGCCACCAGTCACATTTATTTGTCCTCTTAGCTGTCCTATGAGGTACAGCAGTGTGCTTGGAGAAATCACAATGGGGATTAAAAATTGAGGGTAATTGATGTGCAAGCACCGATTAGAGTGTGTCCCATACAACTCATGCATCCTGGGGAGCCAGGACCGGATCCTGTGGCGTAGGTACGGCTATTATCCCCATCGAACAAATGAGGACGCGGAGAGACTTCAGCATGAGGGGATTTTGGTCCACAAAATTAACCGTCTTTCCCTGGGACTTCTCAGATAGCGTGTTGTGCTCACGTATATAGTAATATTCCAGAAAAGACCTCAAGTCTGTCGCGCTGTGTTGCCCAAGCTTCGTGCCACCAGCCTGCTCCTGTTGTTCTCTGGCAGCTGAGAAAGATGGGAGCCCCAGAGACGCGGTGGTGGATTTCCAGTGGCTGCAGCTACCGACATCTCCAGCTTCCTTCTGTCCTATGAGTTGTCCTCCACTCAGGGCAGCAGACGTAGGAGCCTGCTCATCGCCAGCAGGGGTGGATGTGCAGGGGGTCTTGCTTCTCCGTGTACCCACAGCTGGAGATAAAGAGAGGAAATTTGGAACACCCCAGGGAAGAGATGTGGCAAAAAACGTGGCTAGGGACATCCCTTCTCACAGGGACAAATACCACAGGCCCTCTTCACCCTCCTTTTGGGATTGGAATCCTGTCTCTACTACAAGACCCACAAAGTGGCCTGTGCTTTTTATTTAGCACAGGGTTGACTGTAAAGTTTTCCAGATGTGCCCTGTTGTTTAGCCGGCATCTCTCCTGTCCTTTGGGACCTCCTGACACACTGCAGAGGCCACACCCCCTCCAAAGTACACTCAGACCTTTCTTCCTGTGCTGTTGCTTTGATACTCATGAAAACTGTCTCTCTTTTTTTTTTATTCAAGAACTTTTTTTTTTTTCCTGCCTCAGCCCACCCTGCAGGCAGGGCTGGAGCAGCATGTGGTGCCGGAGATCAAACTGTCCCAACCTAACCCTGCCTAAGCAGGAGCTTTGGACCGCTGCGCTATCTGGCTGGCCCTCAAAAAATTTCAAGTTACAATTTTTATTCTCCTCTTAAGCTTTTATTTTCTTTTTAGTTTTTCTTTGTCTCATTGTGAGGAGGCATAAAACAGGGTCTCCTTATATACTTAGGTTCCTTGTGCTGACTGTGTAGCCCGATTTGGCCTCAAACTCAGCAATCCTGCCTCAGCCTCCCAAGGCTGCGCTTGTAGCCCTGTGCCGCCACACTGGGCCTAAGGATAATTTAAAACAGTTCAGGCATGTCTTGCTGGACAGAGAAGAAGTACAGGGATCTAAAAGAAGGAGACATTTTTTCTTCATTTTTTACTAAGAAGACAGTTGGGTGCATTGCTGTGTGGTGTGTCCGTATTCTAAGCTTCAAGACAGCACTCACAAAAATGCCCTGAGAAAATGAGGACAAGCTAGTGAGGCTTCAGAGCACCGTCGGTGCCCCTCAGCTTGTGTGGTACCGCCCCTCGTGCAAAAGACGGGGCAAGATGTGCTGCGCGGGGGGTTTCCTGAGTAGCGGTGTGCTTTCAGCCTGGGAGCTCCCTCTTGTGTGATTTGGCCCCCGAATCTGCTTCCAGTCTAATGAACTCTTGCTAACAAACCTGTTTGCCTCAGCCTTTGCCTGTATTAAAGCATCTTCCAACATGTTCTGGCCCTGTCACAGGGAGCTTCCTCTGCAGAAGGGAGACGTGGTTTACATTTACAAGCAGATCGATCAGAACTGGTATGAAGGAGAGCACCACGGCCGAGTGGGAATCTTCCCGTGTACCTACATCGAGGTACTGCAGCCCTTGCAGCCCTTGTCATTGTGGGGAAAAGCCCCGTCTCGCCTGGAGGCGCCATACTTACCAAGTACTTGTGTTTTATTTCCTGCTGTTCCTTCCGCTTTTGCCTCTTTTTCTCAGCTGCTTCCTCCTGCTGAGAAGGCTCAGCCCAAAAAGTTGCCGCCTGTGCAGGTTTTAGAATATGGAGAAGCTGTTGCTAAGTTTAACTTCAGTGGTGATACGCAAGTAGAAATGTCTTTCAGAAAGGTAAGCCACCTTCCCATGCTGTGCTTGGGGCCTTTAACATGGGGAGTGACACTGGCATTATCCGGCAGCCTGCGCCCTGGAGAGACGCACCCCGACCCCAGCGGGCAGGACGGCGGCGGAGAGCTCCCTGAGGTCACAGAGCTTACAGGCGAACTCTGGGCTCAGTGAGGCGCCGCCGCCGCCGCCTTGA